TGGTGCAGTTTGGATCTTGATGATTGCCAATTGGTATGAACTCATAGTAAGCCATGTTTGGTATAATAGTATATGAGACATCATAAGGACTGCATAATGGTTTCAAATTTATCCCAAAACATGCCTCTGAAGAAACATAGGCTGGTGAAACTACAGGTAACCTGCCTGTATAGAATTCAAGCGCGGGAATGTACTGTGCCATGGACCCAGTAATTTTGGCCTGGACAAACTTAAATTATAAAACTAGAATTCTCCTTTTCTTCCACTACTTTATATTTTATTTATTATTGGTCTATTGTCATCCAAATTGTAATTTGTTTAACAAAGATATATATAGGCTACCACCATGTTGTGTCAATATAATGTGTTTTCATGAAATTTTATAGAAATTTAGGAACATATTTGTTGTACATTTAATTTAATTCACACATTATTTTATTTTAAAAGCTTTAATTGTAACTACTTAAAACCCATTGGACCATAATGATCCAAACTTGAAACATTAGGGACTAGAAATACTAATTCAAAACTTTTGACTAGCGCCAATTTGATGTTAACTATTAGTTATGATGATTTTTCATTAGTTGTCCTAAAGCTGTCTAAAATCACGAATTTTGGGGAGTAAATTTATTTTTTGTGAAAATATTGGGGACTAATTTGGCATATAGTCTAAACATTGGGGACCAAAACTATATTTCTCCCAAATAGATAATCCCTTGTGTTATGAGATTATTAGATCTCCCCTTACCTAAATTTCCACATGTTTTACTTTCCATTATACGTATAAATTTCATTTGGTGGTCAACTGGGGGAAGGAACTTTCTAAAATTGCTAAGCAATTGCATCATACAATTGATGACCCACGTGGTGGTGGTGAATTTGAAATTGGATTGATAGGGTTGATTGTCAAGACACAATTAGTTGCACTGAAGAGAAATATTCATTTTAATTTTGAATATTGTTGTATTACTGGTATTTATGAGAGTTGGTTTAGTTGGTAAGATTTGTTCACATTATCTAATGAAAATTCAAATATAATTCTCGTTATCAGCAGTCTCTCATTAGCAAGTAATCTATAAGAACCACTATAAGGCGCTCCATATGACATGGAGGATTTCGAGGTGCTTCATATGACATATGGAGAATTTCCAAAAGAATTTGTCATGCAATTTCCTAGCATTGTTTGTACCGATAAATACGTCATTAGCCTGCTTTGAATTGGAATAAGATAATATTTTTCTCCACCCAAACTTTATTATAACCAAAAAGAAATTAAGACTACATGCTTTTTTTGGTGTCCTATTAGGACTGGTTCAGATCAAACTAGTTGAAAACAATGGTCGTGTCTAGATTTGTTGCTTTGCTAATAACTTAGCGTAGCAAATACAACGAATTCATATATGTTTCCATAATTAACGTGAACGTACTGATCTATAGAAGAAAGTTATACTGTTTTTAATGTGAATGAATTTAGGTTAATTAAAGTAGCCACATGCAATCAGGCTCAATTACAATTTAGCAGATCAAATATTCAAAGCCATGAAATGAACTTTGGTTTATGTCAGTAGCTAGCTAAAAAGACAGTTGTGCCATCAGAATTTCTAGCCTTGATAAGTTCACCCTTCTCATGCCTAGGGGTGCAATCAAGTCAAGCGGGCTCGCAAGTAGTCAAAAGCTTGGCTTGAGCTCGAGCTACTCATTACATTCAATGAGTCAAGTTCGAGCTCCAAAAATAAATATTCGATTGCTCAACGAGCTTAATAGAGTTTTTATATTATATTTATATTATATATTTTGAGAAAAAATTTATAGATTTAGTTCAAAACTTGAGCTCGAACTCGAGTAGGTCGGGTTTGATATTTAATCGAACTCAAACGAGTCGAGTTCGATTTTAATTTTATTTTATCCAGTCGAGCTCGAGTCCAAATTTATTTACTCGTTCGAGCTCGAGTTGAACTGATTCTGATTGAGTTCGAGCTCGAGTATGGTGCTACTCGAGTCGGACCGGACTCAGCTCGATAGTACCCTACTCATGCCATTGGATAAAAATGGCATTCTCCCATCGGAGGAGATATGTCATTTGAAAAAGTTAAATGCATGACCCCTGAGTTTTTACCCCTTGAAGTTTGCTTGTCTCAACTAAGCATTTTGACTCCAAAGGAGTATGCTCAACTCTGTTCTCATTGTCATAACGACCAATTTACCCATTACTAACTATTACACCTTGTCCGGAACGAATTGCCTTAACGGTGAATTTGCTATGGCAAATCTGGAAGTCAAGGAATGGGAGGCAGTTTGATGCTAAAGGAAGGGATCTGATGGTAGTAGTTCAGAAAGCTATATTGGAATGGAGGGAGTATCAGGAAGCTCAAGAAGCAGAAGGGGAATCAATTTGATTTAAGAGTGGTGGAAAAGAGGAGCTGAGTGGCTGGAAGGAACCAAGTGAGGCGTGGATCAAGATTAACTCAGATGCAGCTGTTAACCAAAAAGAGGATAGAGCAGGATGGGGATTGATTGCAAGGACCTGGCAAAGGAAAAATGTGAGAGCTTGGGCAGTTCCAAATACAAGCTGCTCAAATCCCAAGCTAGAAGAAGCATTGGCTTTAAGAGCTGTCATGTTAGTGGCAAAAAGTCAGGGTTAGAGAAGAGTGGAGTTTGAGTCAGATTGTAAGCAAGTAATTGATGGAATAAATACAGAGGAAGATGATGCAGCCATTGCAACAGTGCTCTCAGACGTTAAAAAACTAAAGTCCAGTTTTTATGAATGTTGTTTTTCCTTCACTAGAAGGATTAACAACTCTGTTAGTCATTGTTTGGCAAATTTTGCTATTAAATTGAAGGAAACCGCTAAATGGAAGTCTGACTTCCCAGCGTGGTTGCTTGAGTTGGTTCAAGCAGATTGTAAGGGCAGTTGCCCCAAAGGATGTAATCTGGATTTGTCTATGAATGAAACGTTGCCGTTTTGATTAAAAAAAAAAAAACTATTATACCCTGTCCGGGTGTAATAGCAACCAATCTGGGTATAGTTACATCCATGACATCTAAATCCAATAATTTTCTAAACTCTTCTGGTGGTATGTCAACGAATTCAATTAGGGTGCGTTTGATAAAACTAAATATTAAAAATTGAAATCCGAAATCTGAATTCATTAAATAAATAAATTGTTAAGCATTAAACATGATATATTTGGGTGTATTTCACATTATGTGATAAGTGTATACACTGTCAGTGTATATAAATTTACCCTATTTTTTAGAGCATGTTTTGATTAGAAAATTTAATGCCATTTAGATGTTATATTTTTTATTATCAAAAGCATCAGAATATATTATGATCTGAACTTATTAAATTTAAGTACTGAATTGGGTTATTAAAGAACGCCTTAATTTTACTAAATAATCCATGCACTTGTTACCCTCGTGCCATTCATACTTCAATTCCCACTTCCATTGTTTAGCTAGCCAACTTTTTATATGTTAAATTAGAGTGTAGTGTGGGATTTCCCGAGGTGCCTTGTCATTTAGCTCCAAACTCATGTTTGAGTCTGATTCTTTTTTTTTTTTTTTTTGTCAAAAGTCATTCATTTATATCATCAATATCTTTGATACAGACAGAGACATGTACATACTAGCTGGCAGCTGCCATATAATCACTTTGTGCAGCCATAGAGGTCCACACAGGGAAGCTGTTCTTCCACCTAGTTTCATTAATAAGGTTAGTGGCAAATTTTGCCAAACCATGACTACCTGTGTTGATTTCTCACTTAACAAAGGAGAAAGTACAATGCCAAAAAGACTTACTTAATGTCCTGATATCTCTCAGGAAAATGTTGATGTCAGATAGGTCTTCACTCATGTGATTTAATTTGTCAACCAGAACTTTGCAGTCAGAAAGTATCAATATGGATGTCCAATTTTCCTTCGATGCTTTGAGCAAAGCAGTTCTGATAGCATGAGCTTCCAAGGTTGCAGCCTCTCCTCTTAATGAGGTTGGGATTGACCATGTAGAGATTAGACTGCCCTTATTGTCTCTTATTGTCTCAAAGTTTTTAAACTATACATTTTAAAATATCCAAAAATTTATATTTTTTAAAAATTTTTTCTACAACTTCTACAGTAAACTGCAGTAAAATTTTAAGCAAACACCCAAAAAATTCACTTGCCAAATGAGGCCCATGTTATTTGTAGTTCCCAAGCTAACACAGAACCCATTCATCCAGTAACCCCCTTCATCTCTAATTAGTCCTCCTGTTCCAGCTTGTCCTAAACCGTTGCTTGATGCTACATCCACATTTAGTTTCACCCATCCAATTTGGGGCTTACTGCAATTGATAAACTTCAACTCCTTCTGTAATGCTCTATGATACTTGGTGAGAGATTCCTCACTGAATTCGACTTGGGCTATCACTGTTTGAGCATTGATTTTATCTTAGTTGTAGTAATATAGGTTCCCAGCATACCAGGCAAAATAAAAAAAAATTCTTGAATCAAACACCTACCAATCTGCATCTTCTATCGCTACAATGTCATGTTGTTTTAAGTTCCAGTCAAGCCATTCTTCCAAATTTGGGTTCCTAAATTTCCCCCATCTACTTGGTAGATTAGTTTCTTCTATATTGTTGATATCCAGTCATAGCCTAGCAATTCATATTTATAATTATTGAATTAAATTTGACCAGCTTTTTTTTTTTTTAATAAAACATCATCATAACATTAAATCTATACTAATGGCAATAATTATACCAATCATACATAGATACAAACAGATCTGAAAAACAAATACTTGATATTACAAATCTAGAAAATCAATAGAATATTACACTGTAAAACTCCAAAAATATCAAAAGATAAAACCCTTATTGCCCCAATATCATCTATGCATGCTTCCAACTGTGTTGCTTCTTTTCTCCCAGACCTACTAATGAGCTGATTTAAATTCAGATGTTAAAGTGAGATCTAATGAGGTAGATCTAAAAGATTTTAGGTCCGACAACCAAATAGGAGAAAACTTAGATATAATACAACAAATAGAAAAAACTACAAAAGCTATCATTAGAAATCTCTAGGAGAGGAGAAAACATCACGAAAAATCCCTAAGAGAGAATAAACTCTCACTAGGAAACTCCATGAGAGGAGAATAACATCTTTTGCTACTAGAATAGCTTTACCCTCAATTTGATGAGTACAAGAGTTTCAGATACTATCCTCATCCACCAAGCTTCACAAACAAACTGAAAAATAGTAGAACACAAATGCGTCCATAAAATGGTGAATTGCTTTTAAATTTCGACATTGCAAGACAAGGTACATGAATGCCTAGGATGAAATATGCAAAAAGATTCTTGAAGACCACGGGCTACGAGTCTTGATTAGGTACTTCTCTGCTGTAAAATTTTCCCACTACTCTGGAGTCCAGAATTTCAATGGCTTTCTCAGACTTTATGTTCTTAGGTGTCTTGTACTGGTTTAAAGAAGTTCCTCGAGAAACATAAAAGTCCATGAGCACGTTGAATGTTCCTTGTTTCACAACTCTAATTTCCAAAGGACCGATGGTACTGATGCTCTGATTCCTCAGCATCTTATATTCCAGGTCCAGAGATTGTTCCACTAAACTACAGCATTTTTCCATTTTAACCTGATCAAGTTCAGGTATATCATCGTTTGATCTGAGTTGAAGCTCCCAAAAGAGTACATAGTGACCAGGAATAGAGGATGTATCAGCATAGCTACTGTAATCCAAAAGAAAGAACCCAAGTGGTTCAAGGATATGCATTGCAATTGTAACTGCATTCTGGAGGTCTTGTTCAGTTGTTTTATCTGTGTCAATGCTCAAAACCACATTTCTCCTTTGTACAAATTTGAATTGGGGAGTGATATTGTGAAAACCTGTCACCAGGAGAATATCCCCCATTCTGTACCTGTATAAACCTGAAAGTACACGCTTCTATCAATATTCTAGATATCAGAGCGATTGAGCTTCTAAACTCCCTAATCATCATTGTTTATGTTTATCAGGATAATAGATGCACGAAAAACCAGAATGCAGTACCTATATCTGACAAATTTGAACATCAAAACAACTCTTGCACATTACATATTGTTAAGCAGAAACAAATGGAGCTACTTCCATTTTAGAACATGATACATAGATTCAGATGGAAATCAGAAGACACCTTCTGGTAATAAGATGCAAACAGTTCAAGAGGCAATTTTGTGTCTGCAGAGTACTTCATGGGACAGACTAACAGAATTATAGTTCACGTCTACAGTATACCATATGCAATTAGGTCAATCAAAAGTATAGAGATCTTTTTTCAGGTCAAAAGTATATAGATCTTACCTGTACAGGTCGTGACAAGAAGTTCGTAATGTTGGCCAATCTTAACATTAGCAAGATCCACAATGTGATCTTTCAAGTGAGCATCCTTGCTATTGGTGCAGTTTGGATCTTGATGATTACCAATTGGTATGAACTCATAGTAAGCCATGTTTGGTATAAAAGTATATGAGACATCATAAGGATTGCATAATGGTTTAAAATTTATCCCAAAACATGCCTCTGAAGAAACATAGGCTGGCGAAACTACAGGTAACCTTCCTGTATAGAATTCAAGCGCGGGAATGTACTGTGCCATGGACCCAGTAATTATGGCCTGGACATACTTGGTCCTTGGCCAGATCTTCTTAATTATTCCTTCCCAAGATTTTTCTTGGCATACAAGATCAATTGAATCAGCCAAATCTGGCATTTGTTTGCTCAAAATCAAGGAGACAGTCCTTTTGCATTTAGGGTCAGTGATCCAATCACTCATTTGTCCAGTTCTTATGTTGGAAGACATTTCTTGCCAATGTTCCTCAAAAAATTTGATTATCCTTTGCAAACCCGAGGCGAAAATTGTACCAATGCTTACTATCGCATCTCGCTGCACAAGGCCACAAAGTAATTGACTATACAAGCTCTGATTGGTATCTTCACACAATATAACCTCAGGATATCTGTCTTTTCTGTTCTTTATCTCGCTTGCTGTAGCTGTTCTTAAAACTAAGCCACCAGGAGTGTGGATATCCGGGTTGATAAGGTCAAAGATCAGCGCTTTCCCATCGTTTAAGCCGTGGAGGTACCTTAGTTCAAAGCTATACATTTAGCACCTTTTATTTGACTCTCATAATTCTGCAGATGAAATAACAACTGTAAATTCATTGCATTAGTGAATTTACCTATTCTGAACAGTAGCAAGGAGACAAAAGAAGAAGGCCCTGCGCTCTCCCTCTTCAGCAGTTTTTGGAATCCACTTGTGCTTCCCACCTGAAGTGCCCGAGCTGCCAACGAAGTTGATGTTTTCAGTTAAGAAAAACAAGAAATTCATGAAAACGAATAGAAATAACTCGCTCTTCAACACTATTGACTTTACTCTCACTCCATTTAGGAATTTCCTTTAATCTATTTACAATAAATCAAAGAAACTGATTTACCTGATCAGTAGCTCAGTAATGGATTCATTAGTTAAAATCCGAGATGGCTCTCCATCCAGTGCAATTCGATCAATGTAAATCTTGATATCTTCATAATCTACCACAGGAACTTTATTCTTGAATAGTCCCTTATCAGAGTGACCATTAAGAAAACTTTTCAAGTAATCGGTGCTTGCATTTTTAGTTAAAATCTCCTCCAGGACCTGTTCTTGTATATGACCAGCATTGCTGGTTATATCCTCCAAAATCCTCGAACCAGCTTCAGTATCTCTTGGATCAAAGGTTGGCAGCATTCTAGTAAAGAAAAGAAATGCAGAATCTCAGTTTGGGGATGGGAAATATACAGGGAAATTAATTAATGAATAAGCACGCTCAACTACATTGTCTTGAGAAAAAGATTTACGCCATGGTTAAGCCGTTTTAAACCCATTGGCCAGGTGATCCGTCCTATCATCCTCATTCCCGTCTCCTAGATGCCTAGTTAGTTTGCTGTATGTTACCATTGTAAATTTGTAATGGTGTAAACATAAAAACTCATTGAGTTGCTTGGTCTCCTTATGCTATGTTCATCACTTGCACAATCCAAAATTGCCAAATGATCGAGCTCTTATGGATCTATATCCATGCTTGAGTTCAGTCAAAATCGAACTCAAATCGAGTTCGAGTAATTTGAGTTGCTATACGAATTGAGTAGGTTCTCCATGTAATATTCCTTATTTAGCTTACAGAGTTTTTATGTATATTTTGTCGAGCAAGCTCAATCTTGAGCTTCAGCTCGTCCTCATAATTTTCTTGAGTCAAACTCAAGCATGAACACATGATATTCATCGAACTTGAGCTCGGACTCAACCACAAATTAATTTTCTTTGATCTTGAGTTCTAGTACCTCAATATTTGGGCTTGATTTGGCTAAAACACCCCTAGAGAGGTGATCCAAAATTTAAATGAATGGCACGTTTCTAGTCATAAAAGGAAGCTTATTCGTATGCATCTTCCGAAATGCGGCAAAAATATACTAGATACCAGTTGTACTCTGCAATATAATTAATAGGATAAATTATACTTTACCCCTTGTGGTTTACTGCTTTTCCACATAACTCTCCCATAGTTTACAAAGCTGTGTATAAATATTTATGGTTTGAACTAAAGTTTCAAAGTGACAAAAATGGTACTTTGCAAAGGAACCAACTAATTGGGCTGAAAAATGAACTAACATACTCGATACTCGAATCGAGTTCACTTGGTAAGAGCTCGTTCGATCGTGGTTAACCAACTAGTCAAGCCAAATTTGAACAATGTTTTATGTTTGATAACATTCAAACTTGATAAAAAGTTCGTTCAAACTCAGTTCAGCAAATAAACAAGCCAACCTTGAACAAAATTTCAAACTTATTAAAATAATCAAACAAAGTTGAACATTAGGGTGTTCGACTTGATTACATTTGTTTACAACCCTACTAACTAAAATGACGAGATTACCCTCATTTAGAAACTAAAATAACTAAAATGGCCAAAATATGTAAACGTAGTGTGCATGACATTTTAGTCCCTTATGGTTTAGTGTTTTTTCACATAACTCTCTTTTGTTTTCAAAATTTATACATAACACCCATCTGGTTAACAAGTAGTTTTCATATTAACATGGGGGTATTTTTTATTTTCTAGTAGATTCTGTTACTAAATGTAAATTTGGTTATTTTGACATTTTAGTCCAAACTATGATGCAGTTATGTCCGCCGTCCGATTTTTGAAATGATAAGAGGTTTATATGGAAAAGCGCTAAACTACTGAAGGTTAAAGTGTAATTTAGCATAATTAATACAAAAGTGTTGATTTTCGGGGTTTTCTAGTAAACAGAGTTTGTCAGATAAAAAGGTGGGTAGTGTTTTGTTTACCAATTTACAGAGCTTCGTCTTTCAACCAAAGGCAACTAAAATCACCAAATGCAAAGCAACTTGACTAAAAGAACTACATATTAAGACAGGATTAACAACTTGACCGTATGAATCTCGTTGACTTTCGACCTACAAATGCAAGCATTCGAAAAAAAAATGTAAATATATGGCCAAGTAAGCATACAGCATAGGAAAAAGGAAAAACATATGAATCACATCAGAAACAACAAGAGGAAATTAATCAAGGAAGCCAATATACCTCACTTAAAAGGAACATGATTGCATATAATCCTACGGCGCAAATATACCTCACCTGGAAAAATCTTGATAGCACTATGATTCCAGCGCAAAAATCTTGCAGAAAATGAAGCCTTTGGGACCTAATTTTTGTCGACTGCTATTCAGTGATGCAGGGACCAGGGAGCAGTGAAGCTGCCAAGGTTGACCAATTGCCAGTGATACAGGAAGTTGTTTCCGTCGGTCCTTATTCATCAAAAGTTGACCGGAAATTGTATATACGTACAGGGAGAGTTGCAGTTTTACTGTTTTAGTCCCCAATGTTTGGCCCATGTATCAAATTAGTCTTCAATGTTTCGATTAAAACAAATCTCGTCCCAAAGTTTGTGATTTTAGACAGATTTCTGACAACTAGCGAAAAAAGACCAATGACAAATGGTCAACATCAAATTGCTGCTAGTCAACAATTTTTGCTTAGCACTTCTAGTCCTCAATGTTTTGATTTTGAATTATTATCTTCTCTTAAATTTTAAACAGTGATATTAAGGATTTAGTATTAAATCAGATGTAAATTAAATGGGTCATAGGAATTATAATTAAATTTTTTTTTCTTTTTTATTATTATTTTATTTAGTCATCCCAATAGTATCCCATTTGTTTCTTTTCTTTTGCATAGTTAGTCTAAAATTTGTTAAAATATATCTGTCTTATTGTTTCTCACTATTAATAATTAATTGATTATGAGTTTTATTATTTTTATTTTTAGTGATAAAAACTTAATTAAGTTTCCCTTTGAATATATACTTTCTATAAGTAATTAATATTTTTTACATTTTAATAGGTTAACAATTGAGTTTGAAATGAAATTGGTATTTTATACACATCATGTGGACCATTAAATGATTATTAAGTTACATAGCGTGAAACCCACAATTTTATTACCTTATTATTTTATTTTATTTTATTTTCTCAACTAATTAAAGAGATAAAGTTACTAAGTGAAAAGGGGAAAATAAAATAAAATAACTGTAGGACGGGATAAGGGATTCTAATATAAGTAGTGCTAGGTTTGGGATTTTATTAAAACCCTAGACAGAAAAATAACCTCAACCTTACCTTTCTTTCATCTGCCTCCCTAAAGTAAGAGCCGTGGGAGAGGAGAGAAGTAGAAACAGGCAACACCGTAAATCGATTCGACGACTAGGCACCTAAACCTGTAAGTCTTGAGTTCACGCAAGAAAACCTCTCTTTTAAATTTTAGTAGTTGTATTAATTGTTTTAGTAATTTTATGGACATGTATTGTTGCTATATAAGTGCAGATATGTATGTTTTGATAAAATTCGTATCTGGGTTAATAAAATAGGGGGGTTAATTTTAATCCTGAGATTATAGGGTGATTGAATCTGTTTAAAAAATAAAAAAAAAAGGGAAAAGAAGAGCAGCGGCAGCAGTTTTGGACACACAAAAAGGGAAGAGTGGGGGGCCGCTATCTCTGGCGGCAGAGAAAGAATTTGCAAAGGTTGGCCAAAAAGCCGAAGCAAAAAAAAAAAAATTTTGAAGTGGCGACCAAGCTGGCGACCATGGTCAGGCAACTGGTTGGTCTTTTGGCCAACCATGGGTTTAACCCGAGGATGGAGAAAATTTGACAAATTATACAGGGACCAAAATATAATATAAAATGTAGTAAGTATCTAATAAATAAATTTTAAAACTATAAATTATAGTTTATCGTGGGTGTTAAAAATTCAGGACCCAATTTAAAATAATTGTTAGAATTGAAAGGTTAGTCATGTAAAATTGTACTCAGTTAATTACGTATAAGATACTTAAATGCAAATCTAAAAACATTGTAATTTAGCCGTATGAAGCCAAATTAGACAAGGTAAGATAAGTTCTAAATTGTTAAATGAAATGTTAAAATAATAATGATAATAATAATGCTAATAATATAGCACTAATGATAATAATCATAGCGGTAAATAATAATGTTGATGATAACACTAATAATAATGATAATAATAATAAGGAATAATTATAAATTATAAATTGATATAGTAAGACGGTAGTCAGAACAATAAGCATGCTTATGAATAATTATTCTCTTTTAAATTAGGAAACCTTACTAAAAGGAGAGCCGTTTCGATTAAGAAACTTTCTAAAAATAGAAACTTTTCAAATTAGGAAACTTTCCAAAAATAGAAATCATCAATTTAAGGAAGAGGCTATTAGGGTTCATATAATGGGTTAGACACGAATCCTCGACTTACTCAGAGTTTTATATATTTATGCATCTATAGGAAGTAACAACTAATTAGGAAACTCATGCATTTGATAGGTACGGTACAAGGACCTAAGGTAGTTCCACTCGAGCAGCTAAACAAAGGTTGGTGGTATTTACCCTTATGAGATTTCAAATGTGCAAATGAAATTCTTGTTTTCAATCCTATTTGGTTGTGTTGATTCCAAATGTGTTCGATTAAATGCTTTTCTCATATATTTATGAAAGTTATATTCTACTATACAAAAATGGACCATGTGACTTATTTGAAATGTTTTGATATGTTCTTATATACAAAATGAGTTGAATCCTTTATGAAAGCAAAGATTTATATATAAGACATATGAAATGAATTTTGACAAGTAAACCTCAAAGCAGTCATGGAATATACGGTAGGGGCTATAGTGCTATCTAATCGCCATGGTAGCCTGGTATAGAGTCCGGCCGATTGACAAGGTCATGGTAGCCTGGTAAAAAGTCCAGCCGATTGGCAGGGTCATGGTAGTCTGGTATAAAATCCGGCCGATTGACCCATGAATGAAATGAGATCAATCGATAGTCGTGGAATCTATTGGTCGCCCACCTAGAAGGGGTTTAATCTCTAGGTTGAGTATTCAGTAGCCAGTCATTACATGTACTTGTTATGAGCTAATATGGAAAGATTTATGAGTTAATATGAAATGATTTACAAGTTGATATGGAACGATTTATGAACTGATCTGAGATGAGACTCATGAACTGATATGAATTGATTTGTGACTTGACACGAAATGATTTATGACATTACGGTTTCTCATGTTTAATTATCAATAAGATGCTTTTAAATTGCTTGTCATTCTTTACTACTGATGATTTTATAAACAACGGCGCCGCCTCCCTAATTTTGGAAGTGAACAAGGTGCAATGATTCGATTATGTCTATATATGTATCTATAAAATCAAGAGTGCATGGTCCAACAGAGGGGTAGATATTACCTACTGAGCGATGTGTCGCTCAACCCACTTCTTACCATTTTTGCAGGTTCTGAGGAGTATGAATTGGTTTATATAGAAGACCCTGAGGATGACTTTTATTAGCTTTGAATGAATAGAAGTTGGCAGGCTAGCTACTTGTAGTTGTTAGTCTTATTTACTTTTGTTTCCGCTGTTTCAATCAGAAAATAAATGTACGAACGTCTTGAATATTCATAGACTTTCTTTTATATGTAATTCGTACCGCACTTTATTTAGTACTGTTAAAGTTAATCTAGTTAATGTAGTCTTGTATTTTTGAGTGGGACTTGGGAGTACGGCGGATGTCATGTGACGGGTACGTGCGGGCTCGGGGCATGATATTTTTAGTGGCATCAGAGCCTAGGTTATATGGTCCGAAAGTATGTGAAATGGTTTTTGAGGCATTAGGGGTTTTGAGAATTGAAATGAGATCAAAAGAAAAAGAGGATTAAAGGAAATAAGAGATTCATCTGATTTTTAATGTTATCAAAGTTAAGGTTATGCGATCTAGATGTATGTTGAATGATATTTGTAATATTAGTGATTTGAGGAAATGGGAATGACGTTGGATAGAAGATTGTGAAATAAGAGATTTTCATAATGTTTAGTGATAATAGAGCCTGAGGTACGATTTACTTTTTAGAGGAAGTATACCCTAGGAAATGAACAATTGTGACTAAATAAATAAGCTTGAAATTTTGCATGTGTGAATAGTTGAAATGGTACGATTGGTGTTTATGATGTCCTTTTATTGGATGTAATTTTGGTAGTACATTCTAAGTTTAAGATGTCGGACGTGTAGGAAATATTATGTGTATTTGAAGTATTGTCTATTGGAAATTGAAAGGAGATGGAAAAATAGATCAAAAGAAATAAGAGATTGCTGTGACTTTTTATTAGTATCAAAGATCAAGTTGTGATAGTTGGAAGTAGGTGTAAAGATACTAAAGATATTTGTGATTTTGAGAATTGGAATGAAATGGATAAGGGATTAAAAGAAAATAAGTGACTCCATAACATTTAATGGTATTAGAATTTTAGGTTACGAATTTATTGGAATGATCTCAGGTATTAAGATGTTGATTACTTTCGGTAAGTAAGTGGTGACTATATGCATATGTTCAGTTGAAAAGGTAATCAAGCCTACCTGCCAGATATGATTGACACTTACAAAAAAAAAAATAATAAAATGGTATTTAGGGTGTTCGTTTTGTAAGTTTTGATCTCTATAGTACATTTCAAGTTTATCATTTAGGATGTCAGATTCATGGATAATCTTATGTCTAGTTGAAGTCTAGCATAGAAAAAACTGAAAAAATGGAGGAAATTAGAATGCACAACGAAAGTATGAATGATCAACAATATGATGTCATCGAACGCATGCAATACATGTTGGATCTTGGAATTTTGCTGACTTATTTTGAGGATTACGATAATTAGATCTAATGCTCAAGATATTTATTACACTAGCTGATATGATTAGTTCGGGTATTATTACATCATGATCAAGCAATACATATTTTGTACATTTCTTACAATATATAATTTTACATACTTTTTCCCTAAAAATGAATAAACGGAGAAACTAAAATTTTATTTGCACAAATAGTTTTTAATCAAATTTTTTTATAAATATGTACCTTTACCTTACAGTTGCTTGGTAAATATAGTTTTTAAATATATATGCATATATCTATATATAAAAAAGAATAGAATAAATACATTAAATAATTATATCCTATAATCCTGTGCAATTTTTTTTTATACTTATCCAATCTCAAAAAGAGCTTTAGATAAAAGTATTTTACAAAAATTTTTTTTTCCTTTCTTATTGTATAGAAAAATCTAACAATAATTCTTGATAAATTTTCTTTGTACTCTAAATTCTAATGCTGTAAAAAGTATAGTTAGTTGACTTATGTATTTCAAAACACTTCCAGTTTCTAAACCTGTATGAGTTC